TTTCCAAAATTCCAATTTTCCAAAATTCCAATTTTCCAAAATTCCAATTTTCCAAAATTCCAATTTTCCAAAAAAACCAAAGAAACCAAAAAAAACAAAAAACACAATTGTGCCAGGACTTTGCCTCACCCCCTCTTCCCCCCATGGTCTGTGCAGAATTGTTTTTTTTGGTTTTTTTTGGTTTCTTTGGTTTTTTTTGGAAAATTGGAATTTTGGAAAATTGGAATTTTGGATTTTTTGATTTCCTGGGATGTTTTAAATTTTCAATTTCCTTGGAAGTAGACAATACTACCACTTTCTCTCAATTCCAGAACAGTCTCTGAAACCCTCAGTGATTTGTTCATTAGGGTCTAATAATGCTCCTTCTGCTCCTTTAACTCGAAAATTGATAATACCTGACATTTTAGAATTATAACCAGTAAAATTGACATCTGCAATTTTTTCAAATGACATACCAATAATGAATTTGTTCTTTCTGTATTGACGATACGAAAAACTTAAACTGTCATGTACTGTATAGCTCTTCTTAAATAGTAAAAGATTTATGATAATGATTGCGCTTCAAATTCTGTGTATTTCTGGGAATTGCTTAATTAAATTTGCCAACTTAAACTACGGGTGGCATCTTGAAAACCTTTGTACCTTGTAAGTCATTTGTATCAGCATTACCAGTATCATTAATTCTTCCATAGATCATAGGATTAATTCCATCTCTTATATACATAATTGTCAGGTAAGTATCGGTTCAGTTCTTCACCACTCCTTGGAGTTCTAAATAAGGTAATGAATGCTCCAGTCAGTTTAGAAGATGATTTTACAATATTCATATTAATTTCACCACCACCAGCATTGAATGTTTGGGTGATTGTGTGATAACAATTTGTAATGTTTCTTATCTTTGCCATTCCGCCCCCTTCTATGTCCTGCCATTCTAACACTCAATGGCTGACAAGTAGCACCAATATAGACATCGTCATTTTGTCATTTAGTATTCTGTAAAATTTTGCCTTGGAGTAATCCACCATAACATTACATATTTTAACTAAGTTTAAATGTTGTTTTTTAAATGAGTGATTGGGGTTAAATCCATTGCTTATATTGGTGCCGGGATTGATGTTCCAAAGGCCATTCCCTTCAAAATTGATATAGCTGTGGCTCATTAAAGGGTTAGGTTCTTTCAAATCAGAAGTTACAGCGTAACCATCCAACATTTAAACAATATCGGATGGATTGCGGTAGTCAAGTCTTTTGGGACTTTTGTTCCTTTCCTTTTTGTTTTTATTGTAGGGGTAGCATAGGTTGTTGTAGCAAATGTATTAGGTTGTTCTTGATTGATCTTATTACAGCACTTGCAAGATTATGCCCAACCAAACGGGTTATTTCTGGTGACTTTTCCAATTCTTCTATAACATGTTTGTATTTCTCACTGTGATGAACATTTCTAGTAGGTACTAATAACAGATCATCCATAATATCCCTTGTTAAAGATCCATCACAACCACCTGTGCCACTTATGTATAAAGTCTTACTTGTTTTGTAAACAGCACTTGGTGATGAATAGGCATTCCATAAGCCCCTGCGGTCTTCTATCTTCTCCTTGTTTGCTATACTTTTCTCTTCAGCATATAGTGTTCTATGTTGTTTAAAGTGATCATTTAAGTTTCTTGTAAAGTCATTCATTCTATCATTCCAATTTTGTTTTTTCATAATCACTGTAGGTTTCTTGACCGATCTTACTGAATAACATCTGGGCGCTTCCAGGCAGATCCTTCCAGGCAATGTCAGACACATCAATCATTCTCAAGAAAACGCATGAAAAAGGTTGAAAATGCTCATTTTCATCGAAAAACGCGCCGCTCACAGCGCTCCCCTCTTATATATATATATAGTACTGTATTTTTGGGATTCATTGTGCGATGCGGTTTCTGAGATAGGGATCCACTTCAAGGCCTAAGGAGCATTACAGGTTTTCCAACTTCATTCTTCACGCAATATTGTTACATTCGCTATGATGCACGTTATATGGATTCCTTGACGGCACTGAAATTCAGGCAAGACGAGGATGGTTGAAGACTTCATTTCTGTTTTTCCTGGCTGCTTGGAAGCGGAATGCAAAGTTCCCAACTCCACCGGCAAAGGCCCGAAATGCAAGTGTCAGAATGGTTTCGAAGGAGACATTAGATGGAAGGGTGCTGAGGCGCATGGCTCTTGCAAGCCTGCTTGGTGCAACGTATCGAACTCCAACCAAAAACGAGGGCACCAGTGTGCATGCTTGGAGCTGTACCAAGGCAAGATCCACTGGGATGGAGCAATTGCAAAAGGAACATGCGAGCCAATGACATGTGTGGGGGAAAATGTGAATGGTCTACGAGGACCTGACTGCACTTGCTTAAATGGCTACCGGGGATCAGTGTTGCCGATCCAGCTGCCAATGGATGGTTCCGGAGTGGCAGGGTTTCTAAAAGGAACCTGCAAAGCTGTGCCTTGCAACATTATCAATTCAAATAAGGTTTTAGGTCCTGGATGCCAATGCAAAGCGGGATTCAAAGGAAACATCACATGGAAGGGACCAGTGCCCTATGGGAGTTGTGAAGCTTCTCTTTGTGACATTGCTAATTCCAACGGGAAACCAGGCCCTGCCTGTAAATGCAAGTTTGGTTTCGGTGGCAAAGTCCAATGGCGTGGCCCTCAAGCATTTGGAACTTGCTGGCCTCTCCATTGTGCGGGGCAGCATGTCAATGGTGTTGCAGGCCCTGGCTGCAGCTGTGCCGACGGTTTTGCTCCTGCTGGAAAGTTTGCCTACGCCTACACAAACCTTGCATCACCAGGGATAGCGAATGATATTCAGGCAATCGTCTTCAGATATTCGGGCAGAATCAACTCAATGGTTGGAAACTGCTCTGAGGCACCTTGCACAATCGAGAACTCCAATCGTGCTCCAGGTCCATCCTGCCGCTGCATGGACGGCTATAGCGGCAGAATCTCTTGGAAGGGCTCGATCGCACAAGGCAGATGCAAGCCCGCGCTTTGCAACATTGCGAATTCCAATTGGAATGGAGGCCTGGACTGTCACTGCCTCGACGGGTACCGGGGCCACATCTCTTGGAATGAGCACCAGCCATCCGGATCATGTACAGCGGTGCCTTGCCGGATTCCGCACTCAGACTTCGCACCGGGTCCTGAATGCCAATGCTTGCCAGGATTCCATGGCCAAATCAAATGGATTGGAACACAGGCGACTGGAGAATGCCTTCCTATCCCAAGATGTTCTCCCAACATCGTTTATGCAACTTGGCTGCAGGATGAACTGAAGGATCCTCATGGTTATGACTGTGATCCTGGGCAGCAGCTGGTTTTCCATGGGCATGCGTGTGATCAGGGGAAGGTCCAGTGGACTTCTGTGCGTTCACTTCTGCCTGGCAGGCGGGAGCATTCCTGCACTACTACTGTAGAACCGAGAATGAACAAATTAAAGGACTCTGTGCAAGTAAGCTTTCGGGGGGCAATTGTCTTTGGGCTATACAGTGTTTGACCTTGGCTATGCTGGGCAAGACACACATGCATATTGGACATTGGAAATATCAACTTGGCAAAACCACATTTTAACGAACGAACACTGGCCACAGCTTTTATGGAACGGCCGGCAGGTGCAGATGGGCTTTGTCCCTGGAATGTGGTCAAGATCCCGACAGCAAGGTGTCCCAACTCTTCTCGGCTGTTTCCCCGCAGCTGCCAGGAGAGTGTTCAGTGGAAGCAGCCGCACCTAGGTGTGACCCGCAGCTGGACTACACTGTTACAAGCCGCAGGGCATCGGGATATAGCTGTGGTGCCGGATCTGGCAAAGTCTCGGAAACCCAGCAAGTTCAGTTTCAAGGCCACCTTTGCGGCTACGATCTGATCCAGTGGGAAGCAGCAGTTCTTTTGCAGGAGCCAGCCTCGGACCCATCATTAGCACTATCCTGTAGAATCAAGAGTCTGTCTCACAACTCATTCTCTTGTGGTGAGATTCCTGAAGGTGAAGATCTACCACGTGGCTGCTTGCAAATGCACCAGGCCGCAAGCTTCAGGATTTGGGAGTGGCAGGAGAAGACCGCGCCATTTGAGCCCACGGCGCGCCAATGGAAATCTGTCTACTCCATGAAGCTCTTTGAGAATGGCATGGCGGCCGTTCGTCAGAGGCTTATGGAACATGTTTGTGCTCAATGGTTTTGGTGTATGCAGGGTGCAGTTCAAGGCTTTAATGTATACATGCAAGACTGATATGGAGCAAAGGTGAGTCTCGCTGCAACCTATGCAATTGCGATTCAGACCACATCAGACGATTCAAGCACAGAAAACTTGTTGAGCACAAAGTACTGCAACACCTTGTCTAGGCTCAGTTGTCCAAGACCTTGCCATATAATGTGCACTGGTAGTTGTGCGGTGAACATGTGGTGAACCCCCTTCGGCAAAAAAAAAAGGTATCAGCTATCAACGATGCGAGTCTTTTGGGCAAGTGAGCGCTCAATTGGGATGATGAACTCAATGATGAACCATTGTAAAATTGTATAGCTTTGCCCATTCTCATTCGCACGGGCACGGCAGAAGCTGAGCTACAAGGCATGTCTCAGGCCATCACACTTGTTGCGACGCATAGGAATTTGGATAGGTGCTCCGACATGTTCCATGTCGGGAGCCATAATTACAGTGCACATACAGGGTGCGCCGACACATGTCCCTAGCTGCGACAGCTTGACATAGAGGTGACAAACTCAGATCCAAGATAGAACGAGCTGTCGAGCCCCAATGGTCTCAGTCAACCTGACCTGAAACAGCCTGAATCCAAGTGGGATGAGTCGGTTTGCAGGTGCCCAGGGCTGACCAGGTCCTGCTTACTAAGGCCCACACCTTGGTTGGATCCGGCTAGAGCATCGGTGTTGCATTCCCTTGCTGAACCTGATTGAAGGGCCCACAACCCAAGTCCACTGCAATGTTGCAAAAACCAGTGGTCGAGAATGTTTCTTCTTTCTCGTGCGCCAAGGACTGTTGTTTGCGGCAGGTTGCACTCAATGCATCTAATTTAAAGCCTGTGGTTTGCCCTTTATTCTCGAAGACTTGTCCCATGCCCGCGCTGGTATCAAAGGAAGCCGTCAGGGCTTGGAGGACTGCTTGGAAGCACTGAGGAACTTCGGTGGAGACTTCAGGAAAGGGCTGGGCATCGGCACACTGAGTAGCGATGGCTTCGCAAAAGTCAGATAGGCTTTGAGTTCAGTCGTTCTCCACCGACCATCTGTGTCTTTGCCGATGGCAGAATACTTCGGTAGGTTGGTCATTCGTTTCTGGTATAATGTCTCTTCCGCTTCGCGGGACACATTGTGAAGTAGGTCCGTGGGTTTCACGGTCTTGCCCCCGTAGTGGCTTTTGGTACCCGTGCCCTTTGGACTTTGGGAAAAAGTTGTAGGACCCGCATGTTGGCCGCTTTCCACACAGAAACAAGATGGGGCGTTCTCATACCCTTTTAAACATACACCAATGCAACGCATAGCAGTTTGACTGCCACAGCTCAGAGTCGGCTCCCAAAGCTGATCCTGATCGTCCTCCTTTTTTGTCAGATCTATTTTGCCGTATGGCCTTGCATTGGTGCGTATGACGCGTGGTCCTGCTGATCCATCACTCAGGGCCTGGCCGCGGGCACGACGACATGTTTCGCATGGAGGGCCCGCGACCAGGCCCTGGAGAACATTCTTTTCCATTGCCCTCTTAAAAAGGTCGAACGCGTCGCGCCTGGTCAGATCTCCTGGTGTGATGTTGGGGGTGGTGTCAGCTGGGGTCATCGATGGGCCTTTCCGCTCTAAGCATTCTTGCACATCAGAGGCACGTCTGTGTCCTGAAAATAAGTACAGGTGCAGTCACGGGTGCATATATCGGTTGTCGGTAGCATTTGAAGGTTTGCTCAGTCATCGTCAAAGCAATTTCAGCAAGTCGCTCACAGGGGCTTCCTCCCGAAGACACAGCCGTCAGGCCCGTCCTGAAACCAGGCGAAAGCGAATGCCTTCTCAAATGCAGGAAATGCACTCAGCAATGTAAGCGGCAGCTCTTCTTGTGACATCAGATCTTTGCTCCACTCCTTAAAGGCCTGCGGTATCTCTGACGGAAAAAGGCAGGTCTTGAGCGTCGCAGTTCTGAGCCGTTCAAGAAAGACATCGACTTCGAGATGTGGTTCATATGTCTGTGTCCATTGCACAAAGAGTTTGGCTTTACACCAGCAACAAAAAAGGGTCTTCTGGGAAGTCAGCAACACCAAGCTCTTGTGGCCCTTCCCTGCAAGAGCGGGTCCGGCAGAGGGGGCCAAGCTCGGTTGGTGGACCGACTGTTGACACCGGGTTCGGTGTCGACCAGGATTGCCCCGGATGCATAGTGCTGCAACATGATTTTGGAGGTTGATCACAGTAGAAACATGTTTACAGTATTTTAAAGATCTCTTGCACTGTAGCCCATCAACACAATATCGAGTAATTCATGTTCTTTCGTGCATGCTTCTTAAACGAGTGTACTGAAAGGGCAGCTGGCGAAGCAAATTTTTGGGCACAACATCAGAAGAAAAAATCATCTGGCTTAGGCTCTGACAGGCGCTGCAGTGCATTGGATCCATCTGTGCCACTGCTCCCATTCATGCAGCTGTCGTTGGTGGGCAATAGCTCTCGCCTGCACTCTCTTCAGGAGTCTTTTCCATTGAGCAGGGTGTTGCAACGCCCAGTCCCGCAATAAGGGCCGGCTATCTTGTGTGACGGCAGTGACTGTCAGGCACCTCCGTCTCGGTACAGAAGGCTTGCAACCAATTAAGGTCTTCACATACTAGGGCGTACCATCGCTGTGCCATTTGCACCAAGGACCAGAAATGCCGGCTGTCCAGATCTGACCACCTGTGCCAAATATCGAAGGCGTGATACCCGCAGAACGGTGTTTGCTGTCGGAAGGCCAATGCCACATGGACTTGGGACTGACTCCATTCCACAGCGCATATCCCATATAGTACATCGAGGCAAGTCTCTTGTGAAGCCGGTCGAAACTAGCGGCATTTTATTTTTGTTGCTTGTGAGTAGTAGAGGTCCAGGTGGCAGCGTTGAAAATAACCGCACTGGCCACCAGTGAGTTAAAAAGCTGTGTCTTGGCTTCAATACTCAGTTTGCAATTCAATCATATCTGCGACCGGTATCGGGTGACTGTATCATGCGCAACACCGAACTTGGTCTGGACGTCCTTGTGGTATACTTTCCCCCGATCTGGATGTAGGTGCCCAAATGCTTATAAGCACCCACTACCCATCATCGCTACCCTGAGCGGCTCTTTGACCAGTGGTGTGCAAAGGTCGGGAATGTGAAAAAATGAACAAGACTGCGACTTCAAACCCAGGAGTCCAGGTTTTGCTTGTGGGCACACACACAAACACCGGGCTAGATGTACCAGCAACATCCAACGACAACAACAGCAGTACCAGCAGCAACCACAACCACAACAAAGGAGTGCCAAATGGTTGGCAAGTATGCCTAACAACTCAGGTGACTTCCCGTGCCAGGCAATAGAATCAAAAGTCCTATTTGCGCTGTCCTTTCACTCTTTTCTCCATATAGGTTGTCGGCAGCGCCTGACTGATTGCATGTGCGACATGTGTACCATGTGAGCGCAGTGCACGCTACTTTGTGCCATAGCGTCTCCTTGGCAACGCTAATCTACAGTATTTGTCAATATTTGGCAGTGATTCGAAAGATTTTGAAACCTGTTTGGTCATGTATAGGAAGAGTAGACTATCAAAAAAGAAACACGTAATCAACGAGAAATTAATGTTCTTATCAAAAACAAATTTAGATCATTAAAACCATATATCTCAAAGATCGTGACCTGCACAGGCCAAGCGCCACTCATTAGCGAAAAATAGTTTAATGTTTCCGCATCAAAAAAGAAATTATTGGACTATTTTGTTTGATAAAATATTTTTTGGGATGAGTGTTGTTGCAGTCGCCATAGTAGTAGTAGTAGGTAGGTAGTTAGTTACTTAAACTAATAATATATATCTTCTGTAGTTATATAGTTAGTTAGTTAGTTAGTTATATAGTTAGTCAGTTAGTTCGTTAGTTGGTTAGTTAGTTAGTTAGTTAGTTAGCTAGTTAGCTAGTTAAGTTAGTTAGTTAGTTAGTTAGCTAGTTAGTTAGGTTAGGTTAGGTTAGGTTAGGTTAGTTAGTTAGTTAGTTAGTAGGTAGTACGTAGTAGGTAGTAGTTGGTGGTTAGGAGTAGCAGTAGCAGTAATAGTAGTAGTAGTAGTCGCCGTCGTCGTCGTCGTCGTAGTGGTAGTGGTAGTGACAGTGGTAGTGGTAGTAGTAGCAGTAGTCGTAGTCGTAGTGCAAGTAGTCGTATAGTACCGTACTAGTAGCAGGAGTAGTAGCAGTAGTAGTAGTAGTAGTAGACAAGGAGCATCGTGACTTGAGTCCTCCACCACTTGCCCCTGAATGGGCCATATCCGGTGACAATTCGTTTCCACCTAGGGTCTGCGAAGGACGTGCTGTACCCTGTGAAAGGTCGTTTCCATCTCTCCATTCGAGGAGACAAATCAGCTCCTCCCTTTTTTCGTGCCTTCCTGTTTGTTCCCTGCCTTCCTTCCTTCCCTCCCTCCTTCCCTCCTTCCCTTCTGCGCTCCTTCCGTCCGTCCGTCCGTCCGTCCGTCCGTCCTTCCGTCCTTCCGTCCTTCCGTCCTTCCGTCCTTCCTTCCTTCCTTCCTTCCTTCCTTTCCCTCCCTCCTTCCTTTTTGCATCGCTTAATTAATCTTTCATGGTTTAAATTTGTTTTTGATGTTGATGACAATTCATTTTTTCTTGATAACCCTCCCTATTGAAATGTGATCCACTTGCATTCAGCAGCGGGTGCAAAATTACGGGGTGTCGTGTTGTACCGTGACCAACTCAGCCCGAGTCATTATTTGCGGCGTGCTGTGCATTGCAGTGGAACCGTTGGCAACATGCAGCCAACTGCAGGTCACCTTGGGAAAGATCAAGTGGGAAAATCCTACTGGTCGACTGGCTGGTTTACTGACGGCAAGTACCTGGATGTTCGCATGCCCAACATGATGGACAACGGGGCTCCGCGACCTGGATTCTTCTTCCGGGTGCTTGATGATGACTCCCAAGGCTATAAGTTCCTATCATCCAACAAGCTGTTCCGGCTGAAAGCATCAAACACTTTGCCTTCCTGGTGGGTTTCAGCTTTCCAAGACAGGACGGCCTCCGGCAAGATTGATTCATTGTGGCAATGTGAGCTGTCACACTACGAGAACGGCACTTGCTACCAAGCCAAGGTCGGCGTAGCAGTTCAAATTTTTCAATCATCCGAGGAAATGTGCTCTAGCTGGATCGTCAATCTCAACAAGTCTGCTGACTTTGACTACTTTACCTACCTTCACTCTGCACACGAAGTTCAGACATATGCCAGCAAAGCAGAATGTTTGCCAATTGCAGCGCGCCACGAGCTCCAGTTAGAGATTGCGGAGATTCACAGCGCTGGTCCAGGAGCATTTGTGGTGGCCAGCATGGAAACGCGCTGCCGCCAAACCCTTCGCCCCCTGGTGATGAACCTTGTTCTGTTTGTTTTGCTTTCACCAGTCCTAAGCAAACCAAGGTTTTGTAGCCAGCGCTGCAGATCTCACCAAGTGTAAGAACAAAGCCGATGCACAGTGGAAAGCTCGTCAAAGGCCGTCCCTTGACTGATGTTTCCGAATGTCCTTTCTGATGTTAGGAAACCCATCAACCAACTGGTGTATTGGCCCCGGCGGAGATGTTTGTGCATGGCACATGGGGATTCACGCCACTGCCAACATGCCCACAAAGGGCATCACCTTCTCTCCCGATCATAGTGCAATACATTGCAAGGTGCTAACTTTGTGTTCCTTTGCGCAATTCCTGTCTGTGATGCCTGTGATTTTGTCACGTGCGGACGTTGCTTTGCACGGGCTGCATTTACTGACAAGTACTGAGGTGGACGTGCACACAAATGCTATTGTGCTGTTACTCACAATTAGTCATGAGACAATTAATTATAGTGTTTGATTTATTTGTTGAAACAGCTTCTCTACTTAGAAGCGCACTCAAAGCATCTGCACTCTGGAAACCAATGTTCCAAGCACAGAGATGCCATTCAGACCTCCGAAGCACACAACAGCAACTAAGTTTAGGCCGTTTGAAGTAAGCAAGGACAATGCCACGAATTTGCTGACTTCTGGGTGCATGCTGTGTAAGAGGACGTTCCTTTATCCCTGTCAAGATAAACACTCTGAAATCGGGAGCTTAAGCATCCCAAATTAGGATAAATCAGGTGTAATCTAAAAAGAGTAGCCTAGCGTGCTTGATTTTAGAGCAGAGGACTAAAGACATAAGAACATGGAACATGTTGAGAAGGATTGTGCCGCTGATTTTTTAGAGAAACATATTTGTTTTCATGTTTGTCAAAAAAGTCATTTCCTCTGATTCTCTAGAGATTTTAGATGATTTTAGGCTTGATGAGGTTGTGCAGTTGATTCTAGAAAGCATTATGTTTTTGTTTTGCAATTTTTGCAGTCCTTGGCTCTGCACATCTCTGAAGACTACCAATTTATCATTGTTGGATAGGTTTTTGATCATTGGAACCAATATCATGCTTTAAAGATTTAGGCTTCTAAAGTGGGCTGCGCTGACCTACCCCTCGAATCTGCATGGGGATCCTTTTCTATTTTTCTCACCATCGCAGTAGCAGCCTTAGATGTAGTCCATGTGGCGAAGAACCAGGACCATGTGGCAAGCAATTGTGGGATCGTGCACCTTGTGCCCACAAGTGTATGTCTTATGTTGCTCGTGCCAATCCTACGGCTCATCTCCGCAGCTATGTGACCGCATGTTCGCAGCGTCAGTGAAAGCCGTGTCTACGAGAGAAGGACTTGATTAGGAGAGCAAGGAGTGTGGCAGTGCTGGTAGCAGTCCAACGTGAGCACAAAATTAACTTTAGTGGAGACAGTGACTGAGGCATGATCTCCCCCTTTTGATGTAGTTTGCCTCTAGTTTCAATTAGACACGCTAGTCAACATGAAGCTCCGCGTGCACATATTTTTTGTCACTGCTTTTGTATCATCCGGCAGTGTGTTTGTGTGTTGTGTTGCCGGCCTTGCCTTGGCGAGTGATGTGAGTTCAGGTTTTCAAATCAACATACTGGTACTGATGACGATGACGAAGACGAGGACCATGATGAGGACTACGACTATGATGAGGATGAGAACTACGACGACTTTGACAGCATGGATGAAATGGATGACAGCATGGATGACACAAGTCATGCAATGGAAGAGGTCGACTAGCGAACACACTTCTCCCTATGGGGCCAAGATCGACATGCTCAAAGATGCTACTTGGAGAGCATGTTGTTGTTGATGTCGTACATGATTTGTGGCACAGTGGTGTGGCTCTGTCTAGAGCAAGTTAATATGGCATGGATGGTCAGACATCCCACTAATACGACATCCTGTCCTCAAGCTGCGGTTGTCCACTCTGTTTGAGTAGGGCAAGAAGGCTGATCCAAAAGTTAATGCTGCTGTTGTGTTTTTTGCCTGAAATCATGTTCAGATCTAGTCAAGGTGGCAAGAGGACACGTATCCTCAATAGATGTTCTGTTCAATGGCATACCACGATCAGCATCAAGGAGCCATTTCTGCGTAGGTCCGCATGCTTTGGCAGTTTGCAGCCATGGTTGCCCTATGGTGCCTTCCACAAAGTAAAATGCTCCCCATCTCCCAAAAAAGACTCCGGTGACCCTGGTGCTGTTTTTTAGAGGGGGATGGGGTCCCTCCAAGAATGGGAACCCAGGAAGATCTTCAAAACCGAAAAGTTGCCTAGGAATCTTTCGATCTTTGTATGAAGCTCAGATCCACAATTGACCAAACCTCCGAATCGAAGGGTTTTTCCTTTTCCCTTTGAACAGTAAATGTTTATTGATCGACATTCTTTGCTGGTAAACGTCCCTTCAGACAACAAAAGATTGGTGACGTTGCCGTGCCATGTGGTTCGCCGAGACCTCAGTGGAATTGCGTTTGTGTGGCTCCATGCCATTGGCGAGGGGTGCACATCCGTACGTAAATGCGGCGTGCCGCCGGTGAGTGTCACGATGGTGGCAGCCGAAAACCAAGGTACAAGCCGTACTTAGGGGTGTTTGACATGTGTTTTTGGCAATGGGTTGAGGGTGTTTAACAGGCGATCGGGATTGTTCATTAAATGCGCATCCGCATATGCACCGTTTCTGTGGCTGAGCAGTGCAAGTATCCTCCGATGAAGCGAGGTTGCACAAACTAGCACACGACACATGACAAATGTTCCACAGACAAAGATGGTTTGTCATGTTAGTGATAGTGACCTCAATTTTTGTGTTTATACATATATCTATTATATATTTATCTATTTGCTGACCTGGCGTGATTGAGTTATGCCTTTTCTTTGGCTCACACACTCAGGCTTCCTGGCTTTCAGATCAAGTTAGAGGTGCCGTTTTCCTTGATCCTGAGAGAAGCTACCGCCACCCGATGGTAGGACTAAATGGATGTCGTAAAAACCATGCCTTCATTTTGGACGGCGTACATGGAAGCATTGCGCTTTATGCAGGGTTTGTTTGAGCATCACCGGCACTTGACATGGAATTTCGTTGCTTTTTGGCCCAAAGTGCCTGTCCCGTAATCTGCAACAAGTCGATGTGGCCACCTTAGAGTCACAGACCCCGACCCTCTTGTCCCGGGTAAGATCGAACAAAGTTGCTGAAAAACGCAGAAGTTGAACTCACGAATGCACAATTGGCACGTAATTTGAACTTTGAGACTAGCACTTGCAAATTTCAAACACTCGGTCGCATGATGCATAACGCCTCGACTTTGTGATTGCATATGATAGCTTGTCATGGATTCGCTGCCTGCGAAGGTCCGTGAATGCCACGTTGGAGGCAACCCTGAGTGTGTTTTTGGCATTGCACCCTGGAAGTGCATGTCTTTTCCAGCAGATACTGGTATCAAGTATTTGACTGTCATGGTTTTTGGTTAAATTTGGCAAGTCAACGTGACTAAACCCTAGATCAGTTTGTTGTTGATGGGCTTCAATGATGGATCTACTACCTCACGCTCAGCCTTTCTCCCGCGGAGGGGTGAGAAGGCTCTACAACATGTGAGGGTCACCTGTCGTCCCTTCCCATGCCTGAGATGGCAGTTTTTCTTAGTCCCGCTGGGTCTGGGGTTGGATATTTTTTCTTCAGGCTTCTCAAGCCGAGACACCTTCTTTTGTTCAATCCGGACATCGGAGCTCAAAGACTATCACCGTTCCTGTGTGGGTATACGATTGCTTAGATGTGGCTGCACTTCACAGCAATTTGGCCAGTTTGGGTACGACCTCAGTCGGAAACAAGTGTGATGTGCAAACTTCATAGCCTTTTATGCCCACATGTGCAAGTGTATATGCCAATCAACCCCATGATATTGATGCCAGTACGACATCCCACAATGTTGTTTAATGCAGCTGCAACTCTTCTACGGCAACAATTTTCCATTTCATCAGGTTGGTTCCTCTTTTGCTTGCAGCATTGTCTTGGGCTGCTTCAATTCCATTAAGATCATTAAGGCACCTCAGTCCTGCCAACGACTGCTTGCAAATCATACATGGATCGACTCTGGGTGATGTTGTTCGCATGTGTTTTTCTTGTCCTGCATCCACTTGTTATCCTTGCTTAGACATTTGCGCTCATAGCCAGTCGAAGCGGTTTCCCAAACCAACCCCTTCTGTGGAAAGGCTGAAGGGTTTTGGACGCCCCGGTTTAATCATTTTCCATGTGGCTTGAGGCCGGCCGGAAGTGTTCGACCTGCTCGAAGTTTGGATTCCCAATGGCACAATTGTATCAAAGCTGTTGGGGGGCATATTTTCGCACATGCCCAGAGGGGACAGCGGTTCAACTTCTTGGGAATCCGAGGGCAGTTTTGTATCTGACGCTTTTGACTTGCCGGAGGTTTTTGGAGTCTTTCTTTCTTTGCTTGGGCCTACCTACACTATCCGAGACGTGGACTTGGGCGAGCTGGACAGACACCTGAATGACTTGGTGCGACACGGAACTCGTGAGAGTCAGCGTGCTCAAGTGGAGTCAGGGTGCTTGGCTCATGACGGGCCATTTGGATCAAAAGTCTGGCAGGGTGACCTGGCAGGGTGACATTCAGGTTTGGAGCCCCATGCCTGCCGGATTGCAGATGTCAGCTGACTGGTATGCTGATTATTGCTGATTCACTATTACGAGGTCTGGAGTCAGGAGTCCAGCTTCATAGTATAGTATTGACAAGTAGCAGGATGCCTGCTGCCTTTTTATTAGCAGAGCACAGTGCCAGTCACGGTCAGTCCACTCAGTTTTCAATCCAGCGCGTTTCAGTTACAAACTAGGTCCAAGGCACAATGGCACAGGATCGACATTATGGGTGTCCTTGTGTGTGTGACACCTTGTATTCATGAGCCATGTGGCACTTTGTACATTCCAGAAGGAAGACCCGCAAATACTATTTTGCATTATTTTGCCCGGTTCAGGTTTGCGCTACGATGCGCTACCTGCTGAGAAACCACCGTGCCTCCTGTGCCTCCCGATACTGCCTTCTTCCACATACAGTCCAGTGAACATGTGGGGAAGTGATGTTCTTGGCTCGTGACTGCACCCTTCTTCAGTAGCAAGGGCATGCAAGAAGAATGGGCAGTTCCAAGCAGACCAATGTGACGATCACATCATGAGATGCTTGGCTGGGGGAAAAAGCAGCGTTGGGGAGCATATCGCATTGTTGTTGTGATATGGCCGCATGAACGGCTGAGTGAGGGCATCGCGTGTGCTTCATGGCAGCAATGCAAATGATGTTGGTTGCTTTTAGAAGCACTACTGACACCATCGGTGGCAAGGAAAAGGTTGCTTGCGTTGAGGTATGGATGGCAACAATCTGCATGCATAACATGGTGGTTAGAGAATGGGCAGCCACTTTTCCATTCAATGGGCTCGGCTCTTGCAATCGCTGCTATTGCGCACCTGAGGCTTACTACTAAACGCACATGCCAATAACACACAAGGGTTCCCTGTAGCCGAAGTTGCAGCACTTAGCCCACGCAGCACTGAGTGCAATGCTTGGTAAGTTTTTGTTGGACACTTGCACATTTTTGCACCTTCATACACCTTAAGGCTTACAACAGACCAAAATGTTAAAAGCATGGCCACCATTGAATCAGCAAACCTGCTGCGCCTGCTGTGATGGACCAAGTACCAAGTTGGCCAAACCGGCAGTGTAGTCTGGAAAGTCTCTTTGGCGTTGCGCGAGGGGAGTTGAACCAGAGAACAGGTAGGCATAGAGAGCATGGATTGTTGCGGGGGATAGCGGGGGGCATCCTACAACACACCAAGCCTAGGAATGGCAATGTTCTGAAGCAGGTTTCTTGAATGTGGGGTGCGCAATGCCTTGACTTCTACATATTCATGGGCGTAATAGTCTGCGATGGCTGAATTGCAGGCAGGGCATGTTTGTTTGGCTGGAGGTGTTGCCATTGTCCTCGCGTTGCCGTTGCTACTGGTATAGTTGTGAGATGTTGTGAGCCATCATTTCCATCAAAACTAGATCGTTTACACGCCAGTTGCTCACGTTCTTTCTGCCTGTGCTTGCCTATACGGGTCAGTTGCAGCTCGTTTCTTTGCTTGGCTTTGTGCCATGTCCGTCCCTGTCGCTCATTTGAAGGACATCGACCCCCCAACCAACCCACGACCAGGTGGCTCCTTACATGTGGATCCTAGCTCCTCGGCAGAAGTTCCCAGTTGTCCGCCGCGGTCGTGAGCAGATCAGGACCTGCTTTGAGCTATCCTACGTTGCAGTTGACCGAATGGAAAAGATATTAAAGATCGCGGTAGCAAAGGGAGGGGTGCAGCCTACGGGATTCTTTTTCTGCATGTGCTACTAGGTTCGGTGGTGATTGCTGGTTTGTTGATGTTTGTTGTATACGTTACGCTGGAGTACAGTTCCAATACCGTGGCTTTGCCAAGCCTTTTGCGGCTCATGTCAGACCTCCCCCAGCGGTTTTTCTCCAATCCCGCTAGGCCTTGCCATGCTTCTCGCAGCCTGAGGTCCTCTTCTTTCTCAGCCTGCTTCAACCCACCGAAGCGGTCCGAAATGCCTTGGATGGACCCACCCTGGAGGGGCAGCCGGTGCAGCCAACGGTGCAGCCAACGCAGCCGCCAAACCAAACAGAGGCGCAGGGCAATACCCCTAAGGAGTGTTGGGTTTGTGTATCCTTTCGGAACCGGGGGCAACAGTCCTTGTGGCAGCATACTGTTTTGCGGATGGGTCTTGCTAGCATGACACCAAGTGCAGCAGTACTCTCACAGTTGTGTTTAGTTTGTGGCCCTTAGCGTGCTGTTTGAACGGGGCTCCTATATGAAGACAACCATTTTCCATGGTTTTGAGTTGCAATGCTCAGCCCTGCTCGAATGTTGGAAGCTACGTGGTTTACTCCGAAGCAGGCATTGTTGTACACCATGCTTCATCGTTGGCATGCCGACCCCACAATACCCAGTTTCGTAGCGTTAAATGTTCGAGTCACTACCCTTAAGAAGATGACTGACTTCCTCCACGGAGTAGGAATGGCGCCCGAGCACAGTGACTGAAGTGGGCAAGTGTTCCATCAAGCTGGGCGACCACTTCGATGCCGCATCCAGCATACTCTTGTGCCTTGGTCTCTGAGCTGCGAGCTCGGCCGCAGAAAGAGTTTTGCAGGGAAGTCTTCGTGCACTCCATGGCCGACGAAGTCTTTTTACTAGTAGTAGTAGTAGTAGTAGCAGCAGTAGTAGTAGTAGAAGTAGAAGCAGCAGCAGTAGTAGCAGTAGTAGTAGTAGCAGCAGTAGCAGCAGCAGTAGCAGTAGTCTGAAACCTGCAAGCTCTTTTAAGAACACAAATATAATCAGTGTCAACACCATATTGACCAGAATCCACATTGAACACCCTTTTCCCGCATATGGCAAGATATCCCCGTTGCTACCGACAATCCAAAATGGGCGTTGCTACCCGACAATGTCTTATATGACTCGTTTAGTGTAAGAATAAATACAATAATATGACTTCTGAACAATTTGAGCCGAGGAAGGTACAATGTGTTCACACTCAATCTATATTGTTGGCTGTTCGTCCATGTTCGTAACTACATGTTTTATATTTTTTGATAACTCATCAAAACTCTTTGTTGTAGCTATTCTTAACCGTTTAAATATTTTTGAGCAGCTTAATGACTTGAAATGCATTTAACCTACTACAACCCATTGTATAATATATTGACAACTTTGGACTAAAATGAGCGTGCTTGACCTCTCTTCTCGGTAGCAACTAGGGTTGCAAAATCAACTTTCCTCCAAAAAACATCAGTATTGCCCACATATTTACTGATTCTGATTGCAATCCTACTCTATGTTCCCAGAATGCTGGGCACAATATGGAAGGGGGTCCTCCAACTGTAGGAGGACCCAGCCGCCGAAACCTGCAGCACATTGCCTTTAAAGCACATTAAAGAATCACATATGTCCAAGATCGCCAGAATGTTCTCACTTCTCCATCCATCAAAGCCAGGCCCTTAGACCTGGCCTGGCTTTCGGGCTCTGCGTTGATCGCCTTGGCCCTGATCCTCTGGACACCTGATGGCCTCTCCACCAGAGCAGTGGGTGCCCACAGTGGAGAGGCGCCGATGGACGAGGAAGGCGCAGATGAAGGCGAAGGTGGGGAAGCCTTGGGAAAGCCTTGGAGTTTGCTTGAGGTGGGCAGGGAATTTTGGAGTTGAATTAATGAATATGCTTTTGAAGAGTTTGTTGAACATTCCTTCAATTTGATTTTGATGTGTTCCTGAGTGGTTTTCGGTGTGCCAGACCTGACAGACGAGGTGGAGAGGATTCAAGGTCACCGGACTCCAAAGATGCACCTGAAAGCACCTCAGGTGGGATGGCGGGTCAGTGGGACCAGATGGTGGGGCCCAGCTTGAGATGAGGACCATGTCTTTCACAATTCCTCTCCCAGGTTCCATGCACCATCGGCACGGTTCCAGCGAAGGCAGACATGAAATAAAGGATCCCTTTATGACTCTTTTTGAAGGTTCACGTGAGTGCAGTGGCCTACCTCAGTGGATGGAGACATAGGCAACTCCTCACTCTCAAGACTGTTTTTGTGCCTTCTAATTAGTAGTGGGTCATGTCGTGGGTTCACAGATGTATGCCCATAGTGTGGATGCGCTGTTGATCGCACCATGGTTTTGGATTGAGGTCAAGTGCATTAATCAGGAAGGTAGGATGGGCAATCAAAGATGCCGCATCCTGCACGTGTTTGGAGCAACCCGACATCATCACAATCATCCTGTTAGAAACCAAGAGCCACCCATTAGTGGCCCCATATGGCCACACATGAGTTAAAAGTTCCACTCTTGGGGGGCCCATAGTCAGTGAAGCTCTGTAAGTTACTACTTCCATCGAACCACCGTGAGGTGCGGAAACAGTTCAACGCCCGAAGCTCGAAGCCATCGGTTGGCATCGGGTGGCCTTTGACTCGATCACCAGCCATGCTGCGGGCGGCTGGGCCGCATCCGAGTGCGTTGAAATATGGGTGGAAACATGAGATGAACATATTTGGGTTATATGGCTGTGGTCAAAGGATCCGTTTTGAAATAGGCCACTTGTAGATGTAGAGATGTAGAGGAGCCACCTGGCCTAGTGGGGAACCTAAAAATAGTGATGTGATGTGTGGCAGTGTGACACTGCCAGGATGGCCCATATCCGTTGTTTCGGTTCTGTTGACCTGCTAGTGACATGCCAAAAAAGGGGTTCTTGTCAGCAGTTGCAATGGATCAGGGGAACGGTGTTCGGAGAAGACAGTCCCAAATATGGTAATCAATGTACTGTAATTAGCTTGTATATGGTTTGATAGGATCGCCGCGATGTCGGAAAGACGCGCTCGTGCCCAAGTTCAGTGCAAGAAATCAGGAGGTTTAAGGATTGTTGTGAATGGTGAGTGGAAGCCTCCAAAGATCTCCAAAAGCCGATGCCAAGAATAAGGAATCGTCGGCTTCATTGGCTTTCAAAAGATTGTCGTGTCGAGGATTGTGGCGCTGAGCGACGCTTGGTCAGGTTTGGTGGCGGATTGCCACAGACAGTCCTGTGTGAGGCGACAGGCGATGCCCACATTCCCTTTATAGTGTTGCCCTCTGCCCTCCTGCAAATTAACATGGAACCGTTTCGGCCTTTGTTCCACTGTAATTAGAGCTGGAAGACTTCGAGCTCCTGACACAGTTGTGACTGCACAAGAATCCAAAATGACTAGGCTATAGGTGATGTGATTCGTTGGATGATTCCGCAGCGCCCAGGATGCATGTGATTTGTGGTCCATAGAGAACATTTTGCTCTACACCACTCTGGCGCTGTCCGTGGTTGCAGTTTTTGCCAGCTTCGTGTGCCCAAGCAGATGACACTGGTTGACAGTCAACCCTTCTGTGATGACTGCAAGTTGTTGGTCGTCGAACTCCAGCAACTGCAGAGCTACAACTTTAAGGGACACCTGTTTTATGCCATGCTACATCATTCTACCATATTCCACATGCTGGACTTTGCACTCACACTCTCAAGGATATTCAATGAACTTCACACCCCGCACTGAAGAGGGTCGATCCACCTGACTTCACGATCGACCTCATCAAGTCAAGTCATAGTCCTAAGCTGTACCTGCCGGCGCCACCAGGGCCCACTCCCCAGCCTCGCGGGACCTCAGAGGTTCCTGGGCGTGGACTATGCGCGGCGCTTGGCGATCTATGCGGCCCAGCGGAAGGGCTATCAGCTCACGATGGAGCCAAAGGACTTGAAAGACACAGGTGGGGTGACTGAAGGGGCATGATAGAGAGTGTGAACAAGCATGTGCAAGCTAAACAAGCACGGGTTGCTTCGGAACCTGACTTCGTTCAGGTGGTTCCAGCAAGGAATGGGCGGGCTTGGGTTGTTGGATGGAATGTGAAAGTGTATACTTGTTTTCAGCTGGTGTTCAACAAGGCCCACAGCTTTTGAGCGTTTTACTGAGCAAAAGGTGACCCCGACGCTCACAGCAGACTTGTTCAACCAACTTTTGACTTTTAAGGTCCTCAAGTATTCATGGTTCTTACCACACCGACAGAAATGCGTGGAATGGGCCATCAACTTCCAAATAAACACTGCATATAATCTATATACTTTTCCAACTTGTGAAAGAACCTCACATAGAAACCCGAATCGGACCATATCGGACTCTCTTGGGGCAGTTTGTGCTCCTCCACCGGTCACGAATGAATGGCGATACATGAGTATACATGGGCTCTCCCTTTTAATTTTATGTTGGTTTGTTTGTCGCATACCCACCACTGCCCCTAAGTCCCCTTCAATAGGATCTTGGGTTCCCACTACTTCTGACATTCTTCAGAGATCAGCAAAAAGGCCTTGGCATTGCCATCCTCCTCCTTGGTTTGCTGATGCTGCTCCTCTATGGATGTGCCACCTGGGCGTAAAAAGGTTGGTTGGAACTCAAGGTGTTTGAAGAGAGGAACGGTTTAGTTGCCCTGATGTTTGGGAGTGTGGGAGATGTTAAGATGCTTTGGTTCAGGGGCTATTTTGGGGCCTTTGCTAAAGGGGGTCAACCTCCTGGTAGAGGGGAGTTGTTCCCTGGTCCCAGCCCCACCACTGGTGAAGGCCGTCAATCATCAATGTTCCATTTTTGCATATTTTTGCGAGCAAGTGCAAACAGCTTGGCAGGTCAAAGAGCCAAATGCCAAACAAAGAGGTTCTAAAGACGACTGGGGAGTCCGTTCTGCTGACAAAGGATTGAAACTCGCCCAGCAGGTTTGAGGGGGATCCAGCTCAAGGGTGGAAGATGTTGTACAACTCACCTTACCTTACCTTCATTTTGCAGTCCCAGCAGCTCCGAGGTGATCGTCAAAGAAGCGGAAAACTCGGATGCGAAGCAGCAGGAGATAGTCATCGACAAGCTTTGGGTGGCCGTGGATATTGTTGCTTGACATATTTGCACGGTGGATTATCCAGAGGACCGCATGACAGGTCGGTGAAATAGTTGTTAGTGAGGTGGGTTTAATTTGAATAATGCATGCATGTTTGCCGTACTTTGTGTCGTGTTTTGTGTTGTCGAGGGCGCGCAAGAATCGGAAGATGTCATGTCTGGAACTATTTGCTTCCCTTGATGGGGGCCCAGATATAGAACTCCAAGTTGTGAAATTGAATGTTCAGTTAGGTGCGTTTTTATATTTGATCTTTGATGTAGGTGTGATCGCAGCACGTGTTGAATCATGTGTAGATGTTTCTTCCGTCAACCGTCCGGCCACCGTAACGTAGGACATCCTATTTCAGATTGGTGTTGGGTGATGCCAGATGGAGCAGATGGAGCTGGTTTTTGGTGAACGTCACCCCTTGCCCCCTTGTTTGTTTGCTGGTGTGTGCATCATGAAGCCATGCAATCACATCCCAGCATGCCTGGGAATTGTGGCGATTGCCAGGCAGCTCAGGGCTTTATCTTGGAACATGAGCATGTTTCCATGCAATGCATATGTATGTGATTATACATTGCGGTCCTTAGTCCTTCCGGTTGCGACTTCACCCTTCACCCGGTTCAAACGTTTTCGTTTTCTCCAGTCATGTTCGAGCCTGTTGGGATTTCGAGCTCAGGCCGCGGGAGGCATCGCATTGGCCCTGTTCTATTTCAACCTCCGCCGCTTGGAGTCGGAGAATGGCCGATTTTCAGCGAGCAGCTCCAGGCAATTCGAACCGGTGAAACAACTAGCTCTTCTGTAAGTCAATTCTGTCCCGGAAATTCGCCAACCCCAAGTGGCAAACTCGCTCGGCCAATTACTTGTGTGGTAAGTCAATGTTTCTCCATGGGCCGGTAGGTCTTTTGACAAAGGAACTCCTGTTTCTGAAGAAGTCCAGTGAAGGGGTTGGCGAAAGGCTTTGGGAACATGCAATGAGGTGACGTAGAGTACAAGGAACCTGGGGTGGCCGGGTCCATCAACACTGGGCAGAAACTTGGTAGAAGGTTCACCTGAATGAGAACAGCCACAGGGTGTTCATCAATTTGTCTCTATTCTTCGCATCGGTATCTTATGGGCAGGTTTTCTAACTCCATCTACGAAGGAAAACTTATATAGATATAGTTACAGTAGATGGGGTGCCACAGTGCCTTCCTTTGGATCCAGCAGGGAAGTTCGTCCATTGTAAGCAGAAGTAGTGAAGGGACAGCGTTGAAACGAATTGAAGACCGCGTCCCTGTTGAGTGCACCACACAATCTGTAGGGAACAGATGTGAGCCGCACCACTTCAGGTGGCCTGCACCGTTCGCCCAAGATGCAGTTTGATGCAGCATGCCATGGAGAACACAAGCTGCTTGCCTTTGTTACAACCTTCACGGCAGCACCCTGGGTGTGGGTGCGGGTGACTCACTCACATTCTTTTTGGACAAAGTATATCATTACCACTGTGCATCAAAAAGTAAACGCTCTTGTTTTCTCGGTCAAGAAAAAGGGCTCACGTAAGTCATACGTGTCACAAGCAACTCAAGGAAAGGGAATCGCTCTCCGCTCCCATACTCGTTTGGGATCTAGATTCCCGAGTATTGTTTTGGTGCACTATTCACACCTGCATTGAACATTCAGAAAAATCGAGCACTTCAGCTCAAGCCCTCAAAATCTTTCAGGCCTTTCAAACATGAAAACTGCACACCAACTCTAAAGTAAAGCACCTAACTCAGCCGCTGCCACATTGCACCCCTCGAATCCAGCAAAGCGCCAAGCCATGCCCCACCCAGCCGGTTCGCAGCATCATCAAGAACGGCCCAGAAGCCATATCAGCTTCATGGTGGATGTTCATCAGCAAGAGCTCATGTTCGCCTCAGATTGACATTCCGAGACCCTCACGAGAATGCTGTAGCCGAACCACCTTTGCTTCATGTAGTGCATGCCGTGACTACCCTTCCTTGCATCCGACCGCACCATCATTCTCCCATCATCCAGCCAGCCCACCGTGATCACCCCGGACGAAACGCCCTGAGGAGCCAAGGGAATTGACATGTCACTGTCAAACAACTTCTTCCTCCAGCCCCCGTGACGATGAAGCTTGACCGTCACAATGCCACGAGCATAGCGAAGAACCACCTCCCGTGTCATACCATTCGAAGGCTTGACCTTTAGGATGTCCATCACCTCCCCGGAGAATAGCCATGAAAAACCACGAAGTGGGCCTTCCCTCAGCCTCTCCAGAAAGACTGGCATAGACTCACCTCCCCGTGACGTGTACACATCATCAAAGAAGATGTTCTCTGGAAGCTCACCAGGCATCAGTGAAGTGTCCCACTCATGCCCCCTTCGTGTACTTGAACACCTTCATCAAAAAGCGTCCCTTCATGCCCTGGAGCACCCCGAGCAGATAGAGCCGCCCGCCGTTCAGGTTGAGGATCACCGGAATCATGTGGACCCCCTTCATCCCGAGGTTCACCCCGAGCATGTAGAGCCGGATCTGGTACAGGTTCACCCCAACCTCGCCCGGACCTGCCAACAATGCCTGAACTGCCAAACCCACCTCCTCCTCTGGACGTGCTTGACAACTCCGACGACACCACCATTGGGATCTCTGCAATCTTCTCAATGATGATCTGTGCAACTCGGTCACCAACTTCAAAGACCTTAGGATGTGGACCATGATTGACCATGATCACCTTCACCTCCCCTCTATAGTCGGCATCAATCACCCCTCCAGCGACCTCTAGCCCTTGGGAAGCCAAAGAACTTCGGGAAGCAATCCTCCCGTAATGTCCTCTTGGGATTTCCATAGCCAAGCCCGTAGACAGCAGCCTTCTCTCTCCTGGGTCGACCTGTATGGCCATGGTAGTGGAGAGGTCCCATCCTGCCGCCCCACTGGACCCCCTCTGAGGAGCCAAAGCTTGATCGTTCAACAGCTTCACCTTGAGGTTCTCACCGCCAGAAATCAGCCGCTTGACCATTCCCATTCCGACCTCCTTGACCATATGTAGGAAGCAAACTAAACCAGCTAACACAAGCAGCCAGCCCAGATCTCCGAACATTGAGCCTGACGAAGAACTCTCCGGTTCACCCTTCTCACACACCTCCCCGGCAGCAGAACTTGGCACCAAAGAAGCCCCCGCCAGCATAGCCATCATGCATCTTGAAACCCTCACGCTGTCCTCCAGCGGCAAAGAGTGAATCTCCTTCTTCACAACCTCCTTCTCCTTGTGCTTCAGCAACACTCCTTCACAAAACCTTTCCAGTGCTTGGGATGGAAGCGACTTGGTGAGGGCATCCGCCCACAACGCCGTGCCAGCACGATGATCCAGGGTCAACTCACGAACCTTCAAAGCCTCCGCCAAACATGAAGCCCTGATCCGTAAATGTCGTGTCCTCCAGCCACCGCCTGAGCCCGAAGCCAACACCACCGCTGCACGGTTGTCGTTGTAGAGCTCAAAGTTCACATCCTTTATCAGCAACTCTACCAGAGCACGAACTGAACGGCCTGATTGCAGACCTTCCAACAAAGCCGTAAGCTCTGCTTCCGCTGTAGATAAGGCCATCAGGCCTTGTTTCTTGCTCTCCCATTGGACGGGACAGCCTGCCAGCAAAATCATTGTACCGGACACACTGTGGCTATCTCCAGGGCTGAAAGATGCGTCCACCAAGACTTCAATTGTCCCTTCTCGTCTGGGCTTCCGCCTGGCCAAATCAGGATCGCAGTCCACTGGAACTTCAGGAGGATATAGCAGACCATGATCCACCGATGAGCGAACATATGCAAGGACTGCTGCCCCCAGCTCCAAAGTCCAGCTTGGTCGTTTGACCGCCCATTGTGACATCTTCATCACTGCCCATGAAATGTCTGGACGTGTTTTGCTGGCCAACCACAATAACTCACCGGTAATCTTCTGGGCTTGCTTCACAGTAGTCAACGATGGTGTTTCCTCCTCCTTTTCTTCCGGCACCCGGATGAAGGTTGACACTCCACCCCCACCATGTCGTTCTAGCACTTCACGAACGAAGCTCCCCTGATGAAGGTAATAGGTGCCGTCCCCCAACCGCTGAATCTCTATGCCCAAGAACCTCATAGGAGCACCCCCAGGTTCCGCATACTCCGGATTCGAAGTAGACCACACCTTTTTGATTGTGTTTGAAGCCGAGTCTGTCACCTCCCTCGCCCCAACCATCAGCACATCGTCCACATAGACAATCATATAGCCCAGCACCTCACCTGGTAGCGGAGCTCGTTGGACAGGTCACCTCCTGGATGGCCCACAGGTTTGCATCCTCCATAGGTCTGAACCCAAAAGTTAGGTCACGGGTGTCACCATCCTCCTCAACCACCTGAACCTCCCCCGGCATCTTCTGGAGTTCAGAATCTCTGTATACACTCCAATCTTTTGGTGACGTGACAAGTCCATACATCGCAGAAGTGACCACCCAGTGTTCATCATGAGCTGCCAGATCAGCTTCAACCAGTATGCGTGGTGGTTTCACGATCACAAGTTCACCTTGAGCTTTCGGAGCAAGGAGAAAAGCTGATTTCACATCCAGCGGAAGACAGTGCCACCGTTTCAATGAAGCAACCCGCAATGTAGACCTCAGTTGAGTTGAGTCTGCACCGGAGGCATAGACTTCATCTCCTGCCCTGGATTCCATGTAGTTTCCACAGCACACAATCCGAGCACGACGCCTGCCTTCCCCAGCCTTGCGGGTGAAGACTCCCATGCCAGGAATGATTTCTGCTCGTCCCCGATCCTCCGCCTGCTGCACCAATGCATTGGCTTCAGTTTCCGACACCCTCTGAATCGCCTGGTTCTTTTCAAAGTTGGTGATCTCCTCTCTCAAAGGTGGAACCTACAGAGGCAACGTTTTCCTGACCTCCCCAAGGCTGATGGTTCTCGTCTGCAAGAACACTTCCTCTTCCTCTGCCTCGGTTTGAATCGCCTCTGTCTCCAACTTCTTCATGGCGACCTGGGTGTCTTGAAGAAATGATTCCAACCTGGCATTCTCAGCGTCCATCTCATCAATCACGGTGATGTCCACCTCGTCCTGAAGATTGAGCTCCAGCCTCTTGAACTCCTCGTTGGCCCAACCTTGTCCACCTTCCAGACGACGCTGTGCCTCAATGACTCCCATTCGGGCCAATGCAGTCTTCTCTGTTAACCGTCTTCGAGGCTTGACAGTCCTGTCCAACAAATCGGCTGGCTCCTCCCTCAGCACCACCTCCTCAACGTCTTTCAATGCCGGCGGAGAGCTTGCCACTGCCATATCATCTGTGCGAACAAACTTTCCGTCCTCCATCTCAACAAGGTGGCCTCCACTCGTCAAGCTCATATCAGGATCAGGTCCACGAACCACACCGGCCAAACTCATCCCATCCTTTCGTTGTGACCATCACACGTTGACCCCACGGCATGAGCGTAGGTGTGACCATTCCCAAGGTGGCAAGTTGTTGTCGCCCCCTCCTTTCTCCCACATGCTTGGCCATCAGTGGCCAATACTCCTCTCCATCACCGGACGCCTTGATGATCGTGTTGATGGCTCTTCGAATGACGCCCACCTCGGCTTCAGCACGACCGTTGGCCTTCCAATCACCTCCGCTTGTGAAGGTACGGTAAATTCCTCGGTCTTCACACCATCTCCTGGTCCCCAGCATCTCGGCTGCCCCATCACTGTGTACCCTCCGGACATCTAGGCCCAAGTACTTCAGGCGAGCGACCATTCGTGCCAGGCATGCTTTCACTTCTCCTCCTTGCCGTGAAGCCAGGGTTTCCACCATGGTGTAATTCTGGATCTCGATTTCCTGGGCCTCCACTTCAAGACGCTTCCACTGTTCGAAGACCTTTGGATCTCCTTCTTGCCGAGCCACTTCTTCCTCCTCCATGGCTGGTAGAAGATCCTTCAACTCCACTTCATCATCCAAAGGAGCCTCATCCATCTTCTCCCCCAAAGCCAAAGGTAGCGCTGCCACCATCCCTTCGACCTTCTTGACCTGGATGGAGAACACACCCACCATGAAGTACTTGGCTTTCCTCTTCCTGTCGTGACCAGGTCTGAACGGCCCGCAAACATCCACGCTCAATGTCATAGAGTCTGGGTGTGGCACTTTCTTATGTGGTCGACTCCTCCCGCTTCCTTGAAGACAAGTTGAGCACTCACGGGAGTATGGTAGGTGGTCATTCATGACATGCTGCCTCCATTGCTCCTGGGTCAATTTGGCCATCAGGTGATCTTTCTCTTTGCGCTCCTTGATCTTGTCCTTCTCGATCTCAATGAGGATCCCCTTGACGACCTCCGTCTTGAAGGCCTCTGGCCATGCTGCCCATGAGCGACTGGCTGAAGTTCGCTCCCCCAGACTGCGAGACACATCTGGTAGTTCCTGATCTCGACGATGATCCGACATCCCCTCTAACCCGTGCAGATGGCTGATGTTTGTTCCGAGTGTGGTTGGCTTCCGTCTCGGATGACCCAAGGCTCCAAAATCCAGCCGGATTTCCCGGATCGAGTACTTCTCCACGAAAGTCCTCCATTCTGGCCAGGCAAAGAACGACGGGTAGTCCACCGGGTCCTGCACACCTTTATACTCCTGGGGATCTCTTGGCTGCTCCTTCAGAAACAACACCTGGCGAGTCCTTGCGGCCGCCGCCCGAGAGTAGAGCCACAACTGCCTCATCCATAGAACCGCATCATTGAACGCCAGCTCCCTCATGGAATCCGACAAATCCTCCAAAGCAAAACGCTGTGGCCCACTCCGAGACCTCAAAGGAGGTGGACCTGGCTGGCGAAACCTGAGCTTCGATACAGTTCTGCAAGGCGGCCCACCCAGGATGACATCAACCGCCCCTTTCTCACACAGCTCTGCCAAGAAGCTGACCAATTGGTCTGACAAGAGATCTTGAGATGGATCAATCATCTTGTCCAGACATAGAACCGTCCTCGACGAAGATTCCAGCCTTTTCTTCCACCAGGATGCATCAGGCCCAGAGAACAAGTGCAGGATGATGGACTCACTGTCCAGAAGTCGTTTCCGTTGGTGTCGATTCAATGGCACCAGCTCCCCCGTCCATTTCCCAGACGGAACCACACGAGCCAAAAGTTCATCTGGCACCTCTGGCCAAAGCTGTCGAAGCTCCATCAACCAGCGCCAAATGTTCGGCGACAGGTCACCAGGGTCACCCGCCTTCAAGGCATTGACTCGCTTCACCATCTCTGTCTCCTGCTCCTCCAACTCCTTGATCAAGCGACGTGCCACTTGCAGATCCACAGTCGGACACCCAGCTTCTAGGAGCACCTCAATCTTTGCTCCCTTTGGATCAAGCATCTCAAACTCCTCACCCTCCCAAGTGACCTTGTAGCCGAGCTTCACGACCTTGCCCAGAGGAATGATGAGTTGGGTATCAAAGTCTGTCACCAAGGTGCCTGTAGACTGCACCTGTCGCAGCGTAGCCACTCCTGCTGCCAGCTCAACCTGAATAGGAAGTGCTTGTTCAAACTCGGCTTTCGATCGAGCAGGTCTGAGAATGTGTGTCGCACCACCATCCAAAAGTGCCCGAAGGTGACCATCGCCCTTGTTCACGGCACAAATCGAGACCGCTTTCACTCACGGCCTCAAAGACTTCAGCAGCTGCACCGCCTCCTTGACAAGAGCTTCTGCTGGAGGTGGATCTTGGATCGCAGGAGGCAGAAACATCCCATTTCCACCCGACTGTGAACTCCCGCCCTCTGCAGTCTTCACCTCCGACTCCCGACTCTTCCGATCCTCCGTCACCCCCTTCTTCACAAACGGAGTGTCCTTGACGGGGCAGTCAGGCTTCATGTGTTGAGTTGACCCACAATTCCAGCACCTGCCTTGCTTGCTCACCCCCTTCCATTCATGCGGGAATGTGCACTTGTGGCCTTTCTTGCAACCAGAGTCTGACAGGAAGTAGCGGCAAATAGGTCGGTCTGTCATGCCGGATTTGGAGTCACCTTTGCCACCCTTCCCCTCTGCCTTGCCATTCTTTCCATCTTTACCATCTCGAGCCTCCTTGTGGTCTGCTGAATCCTTTGGCTTCTCCTTGACATCCTTCTTCACCAGGTCGTCCTTGCCGCCAGGTGCTTCCCCATCCAAAGCCTTGACCTTCACATTCTCCTTGATGGGCAAGGTTGAACCTCCATGGAAAACAGCCTCCCCTTCCGCCAGCAAGGATTCCGAGAACTGCTGAATGCTCTGCTCAGTGGGTGCAGTGTCCACCCTCAAGGCCGCCCTCGTCACCTGCAATCTAAAAGCGACCTGCGGTGAATGCTTTCCCAACCCTGCCGCAAAACGATCCAACGTGGATAAAAGGAGAACCGGATCTGGTGGTTGTATTCCTAGCTCCTGCACCCTGGTAAGCCACCTTCTCCACGAGCGCAAAGCCACCATCCATTCGCTCAAAGGCACTGGCACCTTCTGATCCACCAACTGCTTAAGTAGTGTTGTCCTCTCCCCCAAGCCTCCTGGTTGGTAGACACGAAGCACCTTGAACATGATGCCGATTGAGCCAACCTCACGCTGGGCAACCAGTTCCGACCTCAAAGATTCCGGCAAAGCCTTAAGCAAAGCCACTGAGCCACGTTGCTCAATCCTCAGCCAAGGAGCCACCTGAAATGCCGGAGGAGACACAGGTGCCAGGCGAAGTCTCTCCATGGGCTCCGAACCCAACCACACCCGGTAAAGAGCACCCGCAACACGAAGGACCTCATCCCACCAGTACGACAAGCTTGAACTCATGTCGCGCAAAAACGGTCCAATGGTGGTGATCCAATCTCCTGCGACAAGAGGCCCTACCTCCGACTCTGACAACTCAGGCAAAACCGGTAAATCGACTGCCCGGACTGATTCTTGTTGTGCCATCAGTCCCCCAAGCCATGCTGGTAGCTGACCAAATGGTTGGCCAGCTGCACCACCTCCTGGTGGAGCACCCGGAAAGCCTCCTCCGCCCGGCGGACCGCCAGGAAAACCTCCGCCACCTGGTGGACCTCCATGAGGAAAACTTCCACCTTCTGGTACACCACCTGGTAGTCCTCCTGGAAAACCCGGTCCTCCACATGGAAACCCTCCTCCACCAGAATGTCCATTCGGCTCATTGGGAAAGCCTCCTCCACCTGGAGCTCCACCTCCTGGCGAGTTGCCGCCAGCCCCTGCCGATGGCTCCCCATGCGGTGCACCTGAGCCCCCATAGCCCGAAGCTCCATCATTTCCCCCACTAGGTTGCCCTGCTTGAAGACCAGAACCTTCTGGAGGATCATGAGGTAGTGAATCTTGCCCCACACCTCCAGTACCCGGCCCAGAACCTCCTCCCAACTGACCACCAGATCGAGCACTTGGTTGCTGACCACCACCAAGACCGCTCGAGACAGTCTGTCCAGAGCTCCTTTGTAGATGCGGTGCCAAAGAGCTCGCTGCCCCCGCCACCATATTGAAAACTTCCAACAAGCTACCCCTTGCTGTAGGCCCTTGCCCTCCGTGAACTCCCGATCCGTGTCCACCAAATCCTCCCGAAACAGGTCCTCCATAAACTCCCGAACCAGGATGAAGGAAAGGAAAACCACCAGACCTCTCACTAGGCATAGCATGGCATAGCCAAATTGCCCAACAGTCCTCTATCTCCAGGAAGGGATTGGGAAGTCACTGAACTCTTCAACAAGTCCATCACCATAGACATGGGGTTCCGATCCCAACCATGCCCATCACCCATCATTCCACCGAGCCACGCTTGCTGCGGACCACCAGCTCCATGCGAATGGCCCCAAGCCGCATGCCCAGCAGACATAGCTTCCCTCTCCTGCCACAAACGGGCGTTCTCCTGGAGCAAGCTTTGCACCATCACCCTAAAGGCGTCCGACTGCTCTCGAGGTGGGCTAGTCGAAGAGGTCACTTGAGGAAAAGGTTCCGTCCCCTCCTGAGGTAGGTGAGTCGGCCGACACGCACGAAGAATCGCCTCCTCCCGCACCGAGCCGCTCCAGAACGGGTTCACCTCAGGTCCTAGGGACACAGCAGGGCCAACCGGCCCTGTCAAAGCTCCATGGCTCGCCTGAATGTCCTCAATAGCCTTCGGGCCATTGGATTCCGGGGTTCTTTCGCTGTTCCCCTCCGACATGGCTCGAAAGTAGAAAAAAGATGCGTCACTTTGGGCTCATAACCCACTGTGCATCAAAAAGTAAACGCTCTTGTTTTCTCGGTCAAGAAAAAGGGCTCACGTAAGTCATACGTGTCACAAGCAACTCAAAGAAAGGGAATCGCTATTACAATACACAACTTGATATGAAAGAGCGTCTCGGCTCTAGATTGACTAGATTTGACTCAGATTTGACCCTTTGTGCTGCCCAGGTATGCACATCCCGTTTTGGGTTTAGGCCCAAGAAGTCAGCGCAACAGGTCCCCACAATTGATCAGCATCCTTGACGACTGGCCTTTTGAATACGTGCATGGCTGTGTGTCCATTTCTCTCAGCACCTCGAGGCCAATGATAGATATTGGCAATGGAGACATTCTTCTTATATAGTTGTGTTCAAAAAGCTAGCATTGGTACGCATTTGGGGAGCACTTTGCCATTTGAATCCTGGGATTTGGTTTGAACTGACGTGGACCGCCGTGTCATGGAAGTACTTTGCCAAGAAGGGTCAAATTTCAGCTCCATCAGAACATGGGGGGCACCATTGCGACATCACCCGCTGAGTGCATAAACAATTTCACCAAGCAGCGGTGAAATGTGACTTGAATGAGAGGTGTGTAGGGGAGCAGAATTCACATATTCAGTTTGTCCAGTTCCAAGTCAGCGGTGAGCCTGGCTGGCTTGGCTTTGGTGGCAGGTAATGGGTTCTTGAGGGCACACAGTAGCGGCCAAAAGGATACTCCTATTGACCTGTGGTAGACGGTTTTGATCTCAACGAATTGTTTTTCTTTCTCCAGACCTACCTTAGCAGTCGGATATGATATATGTTTGCACAAATCATGCCAAATCATCAAGAGCAACAAAAGCAATGCTCATGCCAAAGCACATTTGGACCAGGTTGACTCTGGAGGAGTTCTTGGAAGAGGAATCCGGAAGAGGCATGGAAACCAATGTGTTTGGTGATGGTGGTTCCTTGGCGAACTTCCTTCAATGGCTTGCAGGAGACATGCCATCCATGGACTTTGCGTTGGATCAACCCTCACGCAAGAGTGGATGCAGAAATTCTAATCTGGAGGGCATGGAAACGCCTTCAAATGCAGGGTGGATCACATTTAGGAGAGTGCTACCAAGCCTATTGCAGCTTACTACATGCAGGATATTGCAGGATCACTTGACAGTGCCCTTGAGTGGACCAGAAGCCGAAGGGAGTTTTCCCCCAAACTCCAGGGCATGAAGGCTATGTGCTAATTCGACTGGGTTTGCTTATAGTTGGGACTGCAAACTCCTCTCAGTATACTAATATTTCTAGCCATTCATATTAATTAGCTATTGTACACTGTAAGAGGATTATTCATGCCTTGTACCGAGTTGGCTCACAACAAGCGATGCTGTACTGATTGCGTGTGGGTTTCCTGCTGGCTGGACGGAAGAGGCCCGGAAGAGGTATAGATTAGATGGGCCAAAATCCATTCCCAGTACAGACATTGCACAGGCAAGAATCACTCGGTTGATGCAGACCCCCAAGTGAACCGTCGTAGTGAATCAGCGATGGGGTTAGATATTAGGAATATGTTCAAAGGCCAGGTGCATTGCGAGAGAAGATTGCTAGATGTTTTGAATCTTCGGCTGAGACCATTGCGCAGGAGAAGATTTGGTCTTGCTGGCCTTCAAGGGCACTCGCCACGCCATTTTTCCACAACAACGTCGTGGCCCTTTAGTGCGGCTCGTCTTCGGCAGCCCTCCCTGACATCTGAAAATCTTGGGGGGAATACTGTATGACTTTCAGGTTTGTTTCAAGTCAATTGTATGGCATGTCGTGATTTGATGTGATGTTACTGATCCTGTACCTTTGTTGCAGCCTTCTGGCACTCTATGCAACCAAAGCATGTTGCCTGGCACGTGTGCACACTGGACACGCTGCCAGGCACGTGGTTTGTGGTGTCCTGGCGATTGGCGCCTTTCCACTCCTGGTGCAGCTGGGCGCCGAGCGCTTCTTCGGCTATCCCGACCTGGTGGAGTTGCTGCTGGGGCAACGAATAGGGATGGCAGGACGTTCGTTGGCTTCTTTGGGGGGCCATGTTCGTGGCAGAGATGAGGATCATGAGTATCGATAGGCGAAAAAAGGAATGGGGAGATCTCACTTGATGAAGTGAGGGGGAGGAATGGTGTGCTGGAAACTTGTTTGGCCTTCAGGTGGACGGAGAGGGTGTAACATTTTCTGAGGTGTTCTTGTATTAGCGCTAGCTGAGGAAAAGCACCACTGGCACCATCGCAGAGATCGAACTCGATGGAGAGATGAAGGGAGACAGTGACAAAGAATGCAAGTGGGAGGAGGGGGGGGCGTGGAGCCCCATGGGTGGGGAAACGTTGGTGTGGTTAGATGGGCTTCATTACCTGGACACTCTCGGGAGAGGAACGTCACCCCCCACAGGAACTCTTATTCGAGATAGATGGACATGGCAAGAGAAACAAGAACAAAACAAACACTTACCTGGGGAAGTTGGGGATATCCCGAAGGGTTGTGTGAATATTGGGCCAATACCACAAAACCCACATGAAAGCCCCCTATTTGGCCTCTGGTTGGGCGCCGTTTGCACTCGCCTTGAGGTTGGTCACTTCGGACTTTGCAGACTTTGGTGAACCCCAAGCCACGGCCCAAGAAGTTTGTCTTCCTCGACGATGAAATGACCGCAAAACTCCAGGTGACCTGGAGCAGCCGCATTGGTCACGTTATGCTTCTTACATCCACGAAAACAGCAATGTAAGAACATGACAATGCAAACTCAAAGTCACAATAGATCACTATATAACAATTAGATGCACGAAACGTGAAACTGACAAACAGGCCCTTCATTCTCTCCCTGAAACAGACTTCCTGAAGCTGGGCCAATTACCGGGACAAACCATGGCAAGTACTCAGTTACATGCAATCGACTTGAATTTGTATAAATAGTTTCCATTCGTACGTGGCAACCAGTGCCATTCCAAGCAGATGGATGCCTAACAACAAAGAACAAGATAGGCCTCCAATTGAGTGGTTTCATCTGGATTGATGCCACATTCATTCGAGGGACCACCACAACTTTTTTTTCAAGGAATTCCCTGCAATGAAGATATTTGGAAGACCCTTGCAGGAGCTTGTGCGGGTTCACGCGCATGCGAGGTGAGGACGACTTTCCGAAAGACCTCGCCACTTGGTATTCCCAATGCTCTCAAAGGTTTTACCATGTTTTACCTCATAATAGTGGTCTTTGGATGGATAATGTTGAAATGTACTGTGCTGTGTATATATATATATATTCAGAAACCAATACCAAATTCTGCCATAGGAGGACAACGTTTGCTTCGGAAAATTGCTGGGGGGGCCGAGGATGATCCAGCTTTGCTGCGGCGGCATTCCCTGCAGCAGAGGGAAATTGAAACATCGCTTGATCAAGTGCCTCGGGCCAGCATACAGATGGCGGTCCGTTGGATTGTGATTGGACCATGGATCGTAGTCGTGTGGACATGGTGATGGAACTTGGGGTAATACTTTTGCCCTTTCAGAGGCGTCAAGCACAGCAAAGTTAAGCAGGCTTGTGTTGGGGTCTTGGTGGCATTGGCTTTGCTTACAACTCACAACATAGCTATAGCCTTGGCCCATGATAGCTTGTAGTCAGTGACTGACAAATGTGTAGCCCCACACCCAACGTAAATCAGTTTTTTTATGCCTTCAGTGCCATTTCACCACTCCTCTCTAGCTCCTCTGAGATGGATTGACAAGTGACAAGAGATCTCCAATTCCACTGCCACTGATGCAGTCTCATCTGAGCCCTCTGAATTTGGGGTCGTGCACAAAACCCGCAGCGGATGCCGTGGATGAGGTTTTTCGACCAGCCGGTGGATCTGGATGTCCCGCCTGACGTGCCTATTCGTTGCACCCTCACCTTGCAAGGCTTCAGTACCCGTGCAGTGACCGAGGTATCTGGGAGGCACTTTGTGCACTCGGTTTGTGAATGTTTGTGAGAGGATCCTCGAAAGAAAAAACACATTCTGAATTCGGCAACTCTTAGTACGCATAACTTTTGGAAAGGTGCCTATCATTCCATAATTTGGCTCTTGTCAAGAGCCTCCACGGCCTCAATGGCTGTGGGCTGATCAACATTCCGGCCTTCCCCCCATCCAAGTAATTTAATTGACTGGCGCCTGGCGATGTTTTCTGTTCATTGCAGTTTCTTGTCTTATAGTTGAACTGCATAGATCTCGGCGCGAATCAGGAATGGTTTCCCTGCGCTTCGTGCGATTCACTTCGCTTTATCAGTTTGATCATTTCCCGCTCATTCAATGAAAGGCCCCACGTCACTTCTTAGGTCAATTTCTTGCAACCTGCACCTCCCACACAGCATAGCTAACCTTACAGTCAGAAACATTGACATGATGTGCTACTTGGCAGTGTTCAAAAAGGAGTGTACCAGAAACTTGTGTGGTCACGGCCACTCATGGTATTGGCTTCGCGAGTTCTTTCGCCCAGATACCCGTGGAGCTCAAGCCAAAGCGCGACTTGGAATTGGCCGAGATCAAGTGTTTTTTCCTCCTAGGCTTTATGTTCAATATAAAGTCACAACTTTAGGTGGTTCTTGGGATTGGTGGTTCAGGTACCCAATGAGGTCATTTGGCGGTACAGCGTCAATTCCAGGTCCCCAAACCAAGCAACGAAGTGTTAGAGGCGAGGGCTTGGCGTGTTCCCAGAGCATCCCCAGGGGTTTGGTGGAGACCACTGAACCACAAGCTGTGGGCCAGACACTCATCCAACCAGAAAAGCATCAACGCTGGACCCTGGACCCCTCAAAATCATTTTGGAAATAGATGCAGAACTCAGACACCCTGTGTAGCAAATCCAGGCCAAGCAACAGCAAAAGTGGCGGTAGAATCACAATGTGTCTAATTGTCAAGTCTCTTGATTTAAACGCTCCGCTGCAGGTGTCCACGGTTGATTACATTGAATATCCATGAGTAACATGTCTCCTTTGTGCTCTGAGTTAAGGAACCTTCAGATTCAAATCCAAACCTCTGACGCAATTCGACTTCAAGGGCTTACCATTCTGCTTATGCTTTGTCCAAACCCAGAACATACAAACATAACAGCATCGCTCAAACTGAGGAGAGCATCACTTGTGTGACTGCATGCGGGAGGGCTGCCAGTGCTGCGATGGATACAGCGGATCATTAAGCTTTCAATTCGTGAGGTCGCGGATGCTTGGAGTCCAACGAGAAAGCAACGGCTCCTTTCCAAAGTGAAAGACAAATAGGCAGAAGGTTCTGGAGAGAAATGCAACAATCCTCCAACATTGAACCCAACATGTGGGAAATGCATCAAGATTTGTTGCCGTCATAAAGCTCAGTGCGCCAGGTGGGACTTTCGGCGGGTGAAAGCCCAGAGGAGCTTCCCTTAATTACATATATTTAAAGGCCTACGCCTAACAGCCGGGCGCCGGCCCACTTGGGTCTGTGGGGCGTATGTCACGCCTATGTTGGCCTTGGTGGGGCCTATATTGAGCAAAGTTAAGCTATCTGGCGCGCATCTTCGCCCTAGGTTGGGCCAAGTTGGGCCCATGTGGTCTATGTTGGGCACATCTTGGGCCCATGTGGAGCCTATGTTGTGCCTATGTTGGCCTATGTTAGGCGTATGTTGGCCTATGTTGGCCTAGGTTGGGCCTAGGTTGGGCCTATGTTGGCGTATGTTGGCCCCATGTTGGCCTACCCCAAAACTTGTCGGTGCACACTCCACATTCTCCTGAATCTGGCTTTACCTCAACTATTTCCAGGTTCTGGCTTTAGCAGGTACGTACAACTTGGCGTTGTTCTGCCGTTCAACCTCAACCGTTTCTGACAACTACCTGTTTTTTCCATCGAAGCATCATAAACATTCAGAAACTAATGCAACAACCCAATCGTACTAGAATATTTTAGCCGTTGGCAGGTCTAGGCTCCGCCTGGCGCCTTATCTTCGCCTGGGGCACGCGTGGGACCACTACGCAAGATTGGGGTTGCCTCGTTTTCCACACCAGGTCCAGGGGGTGCGCAGGGGGAGTCGAACCCGGGACCCCAGCCTGGACACCGCCTGTACCGCGAAAAAAACCCGACGGTCCCCACTCCTCTTCAAACATGACCAATGTCCAAAATTTGTCAAATTTTGTCAAATTTTTCGCAAAGCGCTGGTTGATGGACAAGCCCCAGCTATACCTATGCCGAACTATTCTCAGGAGCACGCCGTCCCCGTTCCGCTCACGCTCACGCTCTCGGTGCTAGAACGGGGTCGGCGGATAATATTAAAAAAAAAATATATATATATATATATTACATTGTATTACATAGCCTGTTTTATTCTGGAGAGGGGAGCGCTGTGAGCGGCGCGTTTTTCGATGAAAATGAGCATTTTTCAACCTTTTTCATGTGTTTTCTTGAGAATGATTGATGTGTCTGACATTGCCTGGAAGGATCTGCCTGGAAGCGCCCAGATGTTAATCAGTAAGATCGGTCAAGAAACCTACAGTGATTATGAAAAAATGAACCAAAAATGGAATGATAAAATGAATGACTTTACAAGAAACTTAAATGATCACTTTAAACAACATAGAACACTATATGCTGAAGAAAAAATGTAGCAAACAAGGAGAGGATAGAAGACCGCAGGGGCTTATGGAATGCCTATTCATCACCAAGTGGATTTTACAAAACAGGTAAGACTTTATACATAAGTGGCACAGGTGGTCGTGATGGATCTTTAACAAGGGATATTATGGATGATCTGTTATTAGTACCTACGAGAAATGTTCATCACAGTGAGGAATACAAACATGTTATAGAAGAATTGGAAAAGTCACCAGAACTTGATTGCCGGTAACTTCTGATTTGAAAGATGTCACCCGAGTTTAAGTTGGCAAATTCAATTAAGCAATTCCCAGAAATACCCAGAATTTGAAGCACACTCATTATCATAAACCTTTTACTATTTAAGAAGAGAGCTATACATTACATGAACCCAGATCAAGACAGTTTAAGTTTTTCGTATCGTCAATACAGAGAGAACAATTCTGCACAGACCATGGGGGGAAGAGGGGGTGAGGCAAAGTCCTTGGACAATTGTCTTTTTTTCCCGAATGCGTAGCGAAGGGTTCCCGTTTATAGTTGGGGGTCTGGGGGTTGGAGCTGTGTTCGCGTGGCTTGCGTCGTGTCGTCGTCTCTCGTCGTCTGTCGTCGTCTCTCGTCGTTTGTCGTCGTCTCTCGTCGTCGTCGCGTCTCAAATTTGCTGCCATTGGGGGAAGCTTTTGCAAGTGACTTTGCATGGATGTGTCACGTGTCAGTTTGCGACGCTATTCCATTGTGATTTGCATGACAACGACATGTCGCGCAAGAAACGTGATGCATTTCGCTGCACAGGCGCAGCGTTTTGTGAGATCCGCAGATTGCCGCGCAGTTCCATTGGGATTAGCGTTTGGAGAGTCGTGTTTTTGGGTGTTGGATGTGGCCGTGCCATTGGGATTTGCGTTTCAGGGTGTGGCATCGAAGCTCTGTTTTCGTGACAAGTCTCAGCTGAAATGGCGATTTTGATGGATGGGAGTGTGCTCTGAACGGGTCGAACTCATTCCAAACGTGTGGTGTGGTGCAAATTTTGTTGCAGCTCACATGCGATGATATTGTCACTTTTCGTGGCAGGCGCAAGACTTCGTGCGGGCTTTGAAGCGTGGAAGTGCAATTCTCGTGGCAGGCGCAGGGACTCGTGAGGTTGCGAGGTGTGAGGGAGGTGACACTTCGTGGCAGGCGCAGTACTTTGTGCGCGTTAGACGTGTGGATGGGGAAAGATTCGTGGCAGGCGCAGGGAATCGTGAGGTTGAGTTGTGGTAGAGGTGAATGTCGCTGTCCCATTGGGATTGGCGTGTGAGCGGATGTTGTTTGGAGGGGCTGGAATCGCGAAACTGCTTGGCAGGGCTATGTGTGTGCTCCGATGGGTGTTTCCGCTTGACTTTTGGAGGAAGTCTCAGTCTCGTACGAAACGCTCGTTTTGCAGACTTTGACGTGTGAGTTTTTGAGGAAGTCTCGTACGAAACGCTCGTTTTGGAGACTTGACGCGCAACCCTCTGCGGAGATCGTGCGTGTCGAGTGCACCAAATGCAGGCGAGAGTGCGATTTGTCCCATGCGCGCGCAACCCTCTGCGGAGATCGTGCGTGTCGAGTGCGCGAAATGCAGGCGAGAGTGCGCTTTGTCCCATGCGCGCGCAACCCTCTGCGGAGATCGTGCGTGTCGAGTGCGCGAAATGCAGGCGAGAGTGCGATTTGTCCCATGCGCGCGCAACCCTCTGCGGAGATCGTGCGTGTTGAGTGCGCGAAATGCAGGCGAGAGTGCGATTTGTCCGTTGGACCTGGAGCTGGAAGCTGAGAACTGGCGACCTTGTAGTACAACTGTAGTACGTGGAGTATCTGGGGAGCTGGAAGCTGAGAACTGGCGACCTTGTAGTACAACTTTAGTACGCGGAGTATCTGGGGAGCTGGAAGAGGGTCCCACAAGAGTGTCCCGCAACAGTGTCCCACTAGAGTGTCTCAAAAGAGTGTCCCTTAAGAGTGTCCTACAGGAGTATCCCACAAGAGTGTCCTACAAGAGTGTCCCACAAGAGTGTCCCACAAGAGTGTCCTACAAGA